TTTTTTTTTTTTTTTTTTTTTTTTTTTTGAGACGGAGTCTCACTCTGTCACCCAGGCTAGAGTGCAGTGGTACGATCTTTGCTGTCTGCGACCTCCGCCTCCTGGGTTTAAACACTTCTCCTGCTTTAGTCTTCTGAGTGCTGAGATCACAGGCATGCACCACCACACCTGGACAAGTTTTGTACTTTTAGTAGAGACAGGGTTTCACCACGTTGGCCAGGCTGGTGTCGAACTCCTGACCTCAGGCGAGCCGCCAGCCTCAGCTTCCCAAAGTGCTGGGATTACAGGCATAAGCCACCGCACCCGACCTGTTTTCTTTTGTTTTAAACTGTGTGTGTAGAATATTATAATGTGGTCACTCCGGAAATAGGAGTCTCCCTCCTCCCCAGGGTGTGTTCTTGCTGTTTGCTGCAGTGGTTATTTAATGACTTTTCTGATTGTGAAGTCTCTATCTTTTCTCATGAATGCCCATTTCCTCCTGTTCTTTTAGACTGGTGGTCAGCTAGTGATAGGACAGAGATTTCTTTAAACATCTGGAAGCCAAAAAAAAAAAAAAAAAAACCCACAACACACTCCCGAGTTTGTAGAAGGGGCCTGCATGGCTGTGGGGTCAACCCTTCCACAGTGAAACAGGTTTTCTCTGCCTTCACTTTCACTTCCTGCTTGTGCAGAGCTGGAAGACCAGCCCGATGTGAGAGCGTAGGGCTCTCGCAGGCCTCTTCCAAGCTCCTGCACTGCTCTGGTCTTATAGGTTCCAAGCCTTCATTCCCCAGAGCGTTTTATTCCCTGGCCTTTCCTCCTATGCTGTTTGGCTCCTCTGTTTTTTGCCTCATCTGCTCTCGTGGCCCCAGGCAGCAGAGACTAACAAATTTGTTGTAAACGTTTCCTACAAATGTCCTCCAGGTAGCACCTCAGCACTTGGAGAATGTCCAGTTGGCTGAGATCAAGGCCAGCCCTCGAGCCATACCCCAGTTCGCCGTTGCAAATAAGGCCCCTTCTTGGAACCTGAGCTGGGCGTGTGGTCTGTTACCCTCAGGCCACCACAGTCTAGGCAGTAGGAGAGGGACCGGGATGAGTTAAAAAGCCACAAAGCTGTTTGTTCTGAGATCCAACTGGATTATCTATGATTTTTTTTTTTTTTTTTTTTTGAGATGGAGTCTCGCTCTGTCGCCCAGGCAGTGGCACGATCTAGGCTCACCACAACCTCCACCTCCCAGGTTTTGAAGCGATTCTCCTGCCTCAGTCTCCCGAGCAGCTGGGATTATAGGCATGTGGCACCACGCCTGGCTAATGTTTATATTTTTAGTAGAGGCGGGGTTTCACCATGTTGTTCAGGCTGGTCTCAATCTTGTGACGTTGTGATCCACATGCCTCTGACGCCCAAAGTGCAGGGATTACAGGCATGAGCCACGGCGCACGGCCTCAACTGGATTACATTAATCAAGTGTTCCTCTCGTTACTGCAAGCTTTTGATTAGTTCCAAAAAAGTGGAATGTGACTTTTTTTGCCAGTTATTTGTTGCTCCCTATTTTCGGTGTTTCATTCATGTTCTACACGGGATCTCAAATTTATATGAAAAGAAATCTTCCATCAGTTCCGCAGATGGGAAAAAATGCTGAAAAGAAACGCTGTGAAAACATCACCAGTGTGGCCTGCATGCTGGACACTACCGTTTGCCCTGGGTGTTGGGTTCTTTCTGTCTCTGTTTGTTGATTGCTGCACAAGGATTGCTGTGGGCCTCAAGACCCACTGGGAAACGATCCCTTTTCCAGATCAGTGCCTGGTTTGTTGAGTATACTTGTCAAACTGGACTTTCATACACCTATGCTTTTGGATGAACCCTGTTACCTATCCTAGAAATTAACAGAGAAAATTGACAGTGGATTGACAAGAATGAGAATCCGTTCTAAAGAATTCCAATAGAATGGAATCCTTTATTACTAAAACAATGCTCAACTCAAGTCGACACACATCCCTCATTTTGACTTCATTAGCTCCGGCACAGAGACAACTTTTTGAAAATACACAGCTAAAGTTGTCCCAGCTTTATGTGCTAGACCAGTTTTTCAGAATACACAGCTAAAACTGTCCCTGCTTTAAGGGCCCTTTTAGCTGTGTATTTTGAAAAAGTTATGTGCTCTCCCAATAAAAAGCTACTTTTGTTGTTACTTTTGGTCTCCAGGAGAAGTGGGAGTCCTTTTCAGACAGCATGGGAAACACATGAGTCCTTTGGAGTTCTCTTGTCTGCCCCTGAGGTTGCAATAAGGGCGTGAAGCACTTTGGGAGGTGTCCAGACACACAGGTAGGCTTGCTACAGAGCAGCTTCACCCTTGGGGTGTGCTCCTTGTCATCATGAGCCATGTCTGAACGAATTAATCCCATTTCATAAGCAAGTATGTTCTCCGTTTGACTGTGCTGTTGTTTTGAATCAGCAGCCTCTACAATGCTTTAACTTGATAGCCATGAATAATTTTGTTTTACGTAATAACGTGTTGGATTGAGGAGGAGGCAGCATTGGAAGAGAAGGAGGCAGAATGGAGGTGTGAATTAGGGAAAGGTGTCCGTTCCTTTGGAGTATGGATGGGTTCAAAGCCCCCCGCATAATACTAAGTATTTGGCTGGACACTACAAGTTGTGTGTGAAGCCTGTGTGTGTGTGTGTGAGTGTGTGTGTGTGTGGGGATGTGTGGGTGTGGGTGTGTGTCTGTGTGGGTGTGTTTGTGTGAAACCTGTTTGTGTGTATGTGTGTGTGTGTGTGTGTGTGTGGGTGTGTGTGTGTGTGGGGGTGGGTGTGTGTGTGGGGGTGGGTGTGGGTCTGTGTGGATGTGGGTGTGTTAAGCCTGTTTGTGGGTGTGTGTGTGGGTGTGTGTCTGTGTGGGTGTGGGTGAGTGAAGCCTGTTTGTGTGTGTGAGTGGGTGTGGGTGTGTGAAGCCTGTTTGTGTGTGTGGGTGGGTGTGGATGTGGGTGTTTGTCTGTGTGGGTGTGGGTGTGTGAAGCGTGTTTGTGGGTGGGTGTGGGTGTGGGTGTGCGTGTGGGTGTGAGTGCGAGTGTGTCTGTGTTTCTGTCTGCAGACCTGAGAAGCAGATGCTTCTTCCTGTGGTAGCATGTAACTCAGAACCTTGGAAGCCCTCCTGAAAACGCAATACATGTATGTTTTAAGACGTTTATGTTGATGATTGGTGAGAGCGTGGTGATTGAAACCAGCTCATTTCAGATGTACGACTGAGGCCTGCTCAGCTTTGCTCAAGAGGGTTCTTGACTCTTACTTTGCAGCAGGAGCTCCTAAGTGAATCAAGCCTTTTCGAGAGTTTCAGTTGGAAAGGCAGGATTTCTCAGGTTAGACCCAATGTTGAAATTTGAACCGGGCAAATTCTCAATAGAGACAAGAGTCCAAAGACGGTGCTGATGGAATCTAATGTCTTTTGATGTTGACTTCAATCCGTTAAAGCTCTTGTGAAGCCATTGAACTGTAACATTGGGCCTGGGGGAGGCAGTGCACCCTCTGAAATTAGAGGTCCGAAGATTTGGATTTGATTTGCGGCCCTGTGCCAGTCAGTCAGCCACTCATTTTCAAGTGACAAGCCTTAGTTGGGTGACTTTCTGTCCCTGTTTCTCGATTTCTGCACAGGGATTGCTGTGGTCCTTAAGGCCCCCTGGGTAACGATCCCTTTTCCAGCTCAGTGCCTGGTTTGGGGAGCCTACTTGTCAATCTGGATTTTCATACACCTATGCTTTTGGATGAACTCTGTTACCTCTCCTAGAAATTAACAGAGAAAATTGACAGTGGACTGACAAGAATGAGAATCCATTCTAAAGGATTCCAATAGAACGGAATCCTTTATTTCGAAAAGAATGCTCAACTCAAGTGGACACATATCCCTCATTTCGACTTCATTAGCTACGGCACTGAGAGACAACTTTTTGAAAATACACAGCTAAAGCTGTCCCAGCTTTATGTGCTAGACCAGTTTTTCAGAATACACAGCTAAAACTGTCCCTGCTTTAAGGACCATTTTAGCTGTGTATTTTGAAAAAGTTGTGTGCTCTCCCAATAAAAAGCTACTTTTGTTGTTACTTTTGGTCTCCAGGAGAAATGGGAGTCCTTTTCAGACAGCATGGGAGACACATGAGTGCCTTGGAGTCCTCTTGTCTTCCTCTGAGGGTGCAATGAGGGCGTGAAGCACTTTGGGAGGTGTCCAGACACACAGGTAGGCTTGCTACGGAGCAGAGCTTCACCCTTGGGGTGTGCTCCTTGTCATCATGAGCCATGTCTGAACGAATTAATCAGATTTCATATGCAAGCATGTTCTCCGTTTTACAGTGCAGTTGTTTTGAATCAGAGCAGCCTCCACAATGCTTTAACTGGATAGCCATGAATAATTTCATTCTACATAATAACGTGTGGGTTTGAGGAGGAGGCAGCGTTGGATGAGAAGGAGGGAGAATGGACGTGTGAATTAGGGAAAGGTGACTGTTCCTTTCGAGTATGGATGCGTTCAAAGCCCGCCTCATAATACTAAGTATTTGACTGGACACTACCAGTTGTGTGTGAAGCCTGTGTGTGTGTGTGGGTGGGTGTGGGTGTGTTTGGGTGTGGGTGTGTGTGTGTGTGTGGGTGTGGGTATGTCTGTGTTTCTGTCTGCAGACCTGAGCAGCAGATGCTTCTTCCTGTGGTAGCATGTAACTCAGAACCTTGGATAACCCCAGCCCTCCTGAAAATGCATACTTGTATGTTTTAAGACATTTATGTTCATGATTGGTGAGAGCGTGGCGATTGAAACCAGCTCATTTCCCATGTACCACTGAGGCCTGCTCAGTTCTGCTCAAGAGGGTTTTTGACTCTTACTTTGTAGCAGGAGCTCCTAAGTGAATAAAGATTTTTGAGAGTTTCATGTGGAAAGGCAAGATATCTCAGCTTAGACCCAATGTTAAAATTTGAATCGGGCAAATTCTCATTAGAGACAGGGGACCAAAGACGGTGCCGATGGAATCTAATGTCTTTTGATGTTGACTTCAATCCATTAAAGCTCTTGTGAAGCCATTAATCTGTAACATTGGGCCTGGGGGAGGCAGTGCACCCTCTGAAATTAGAGGTCCAAAGATTTGGATTTGATTTCCAGCCCTGTGCCAGTCAGTCAGCCACTCATTTTCAAGTGACAACCCTTAGTCGGGTAACTTTCTGTCCCTGTTTCTCGATTTCTACACAGGGATTGCAGTGGGCCTTACGGCCCCCTCGCAAACGATCCCTTTTCCAGCTCGGTGCCTGGTTTGTGGAGTCTACTTGTCAATCTGGATTTTCATACACTTATGCTTTTGGATGAACTCTGTTACCTCTCCTAGAAATTAACAGAGAAAATTGACAGTGGATTGACAAGAATGAGAATCCGTTCTAAAGAATTCCAACAAAACGGAATCCTTTATCACCAAAAGAACGCTCAACTCAAGTGGACACAGATCCCTCATTTTGACTTCATTAGCTATGGCACTGAATTAAGTGCTACTGCATTAGCACTTAAAGCAGGGACCGTTTTAGCTGTGTATTTGGAAAAGGTGTGTTCTCTCCCAATAAAAAGCTACTTTTGTTGTTACTTTTGGTCCCCAGGAGAAATGGTAGTCCTTTTCAGACAGCATGGGAGACACATGAGTCCTTTGGAGTCCTCTTGTCTGCTTCTGTGGGTGCAAAGAGAGTGTCAAGCACTTTGGGAGGTGTGCAGACACACAGGTAGGCTTGCTACGGAGTGGAGCTTCACCCTTGGAGTGGGCTCCTTGTCATCATGAGCCATGTCTGTATGAATTAATCACATTTCATATGCAAGCATGTTCTCCGTTTGACTGTGCTTTTGCTTTGAATCAGAGCAGCCTCGACAATGCTTTAACTTGATAGCTATGAATAGTTTCGTTCTACCTAATAACATGTGCGTTTGAGGAGGAGGCAGTGTTGGATGAGAAGGCAGGAGAATGGACGTGTGAATTAGGGAAACGTGTCTGTTCCTTTGGAGTATGGATGGGCTCAAAGCCCCCCTCATAATACTAAGTATTTTCCTGGACACTACCAGTTGTGTGTGAAGCCTGTGTGTATATGTGTGTTTGTGTGTGTGTGTGTGTGTGTGGGTGGGTGTGGGTGTGTGTCTGTGTGGGTATGGGTGTGTGAAGTCTGTGTGTGTGGGTGTGAGTGGGTGTGTGTTTGTGTGTGTGGCGGGCTGTGGGTGTGGGTGTGTGTCAGTGTGGGTGTGTGAAGCCTGTTTGTGTGTCTCTCCCTAGTAGTGTTGTGTGACCACTTGTCCCAGAGCAGGACCCCATATCCTAGTGAGACTCTAGTCACAGTCGCCTTCTTCCCTAGTTGTTGTCGAATAAGATGCTCAAGGCTTTGGTCCAAGAGTCCTCTGCATTCCCAAATTCTTGAAGCCTCCTTTCATTAAATGGGCCTGATAGTTTGCACATGCCCTTCTAGTAATCTAAGAAAAATTTATTGAAAAAGTCCGTTTGTTCATGTCAGTAATCAGGGCCATGACCAGGGGCATGGCTCATAAATATCTCTGGACTGACACTCACCAGACCCTCAGGCTAACACCACATACATTATTTCAAGTGAGAGAATGCTCTCTGGGCAGAGAGCAGCAAGGGACACTGGGTCTGCTCAATGGGCAACCACAGCTGTGTCAATCCCTCCCACCCCACAAATTCCTCAGGGATGGGCAGTAGAGCCTGGCTTCACTGAGCCTGACTCTGCAGTTGTGTTCTGCCTGGGTGTGGTCCCAGCACCCACTTCCTTTCAGGTCTGGCCTGCCAGACTCCCCTCTTCACCAGCCCCTAGGACATGAATAAATACATGGAGTGAGGTAGAGGCAGGCAATGTGGGGGACACATTTGCATCCATAACTCTTCCTCTCTGAGGTCAGTGTAGAGGATAAGAGGTCTGGGCCAGGCCACTCCAGCTCTGGAACTAAGGAGAACTGTGTTGAGCATGGCCTGGACTACTCTCCTGCTGCTTCTCTCTCAATTCTCAGTTAGGAACAGGCCTCTCATGTCCAGGCCATGTACCTCAGGTTTCACCAGTCCCCTCTGGCTAAGATCTTATGGCAACATTATGCTGGTAGGTGACCCAACACCCTTGTGCATCTGTGTCTACAGGTTCCCTCTCCCAGCCAGTGCTGACTCAGCCATCCTTCCTCTGCATCTCCAGGAAAATCAGCCAGGCTCTCCTGCACCCTGAGCAGTGGCTTCATTGCTGATTTCTACTGGATATACTGGTACCAGAAAAAGCCAGGGAATCCCCCCACCCCCAGTATCTGCTGGACCACTACCAAAATTCACTTCATGACTGGGGCTCCAGGGTCCCCAGCCACTTCTCTGGATTGATAGTCCAATAAAGGGCCCTTGCTCATATCTGAGCTCCAGTCTGAGGATGAGGCTTACTATTACTGTATGATTGAGCACAGTGGAGCTTCTCAGGCTGACACATGCAGGTGGGGAAGTGGGACAAACCTCAGCTTGCTTAGAGTCTTTTTCTCTGATGATGTTTAGATCTTAAAATAACTTGCATATACAAACTCCACATGGAAACACCTTCTGGCTCAAAAAGTGCTCTCTCAATTTTCCATTGACTGCTTCTGAAGCTTTAGGAATGCTGAAAACAAAACCAAAAAACCTAGAGATCCCACTGAAGTGTTGTTCAGTTACATGGATTTGCTAAACCCTCAGTCTGTAGAGGTGTTTTGTTTTTATTTTCTTGAAAGGAGGGAAATTAACTTTTTCCAGTTTTCATTTCAGCCAATGGTTGAAGACTACCCCAGCAGGTGGATAGTCTCCTACAGCATGGACTCTGTCTTTGAGTGGTCAGATGAGAGACCTCCCCTTTCCTCCCCAGACACCTTTTTCTAACCCTGATCAGCTATGCTTCGGGCTGCCTGAGGCTCCCTGTGACTCAGGGATGAGGTAGCAAGGTGTGAAATGCTGAGAAATTCAGACCTATAGGACTTTCAGCACAGAGCTGGCCTGGCTCACACACAGTTACCTGCACCTTCAGTTTTCATGTCAGGAGGTTGGGGATTGGGATGGAAGAAAATAAGGGCCTGAGGCCACCAAACTTTTATGTGGGGCACAAGAGGGTAGAGTGGAGGCTACCCAATTGCTGGAAAAACACTGAACCTTCTCCAGCGAAGTTCGGAGAAGTTGGTCTCATGGATGTGACTTTCCTACCACTGATCCACTCAGAACATTAAAAACCCTCATGAGAGGGATGAATGGGATTTCCTGGGCTCACAGGAACTGTCAATCCAAAGAGTTGAGCTTTGTAAAATATTTGAAGATATTTATTCTGAGATTATGTAGTATTTAGTTTTCTGTTCTTGTGTTAGAATGCTAAGGGCAGTGGCCTCCAGCTCCATCCATGTCCCTGCAATAGACATTATCTCATTTTTTTAATGGCTACATACTATTCCATAGTATAGATGTACTACATTTTCTTCATCCAGTGTACCATTAATGGGCCTTTAAGTTGATTTCATGTCTTTGCTATTGTGAATAGTGCTGCAATGAACATACAAATGCATGCGTCTTTATAGTAGAACAATGTATATTGCTTTGGTTACATACACAGTAAAAAGATTGCTGGGTCAAATGGCAGTTCTGTCTTTAGGTCTTTGAGAAATTGACACACTGTCTTCCACAGTGGTTAAACTAATTTACACTCTCACTAACAATGTAAAGTCATTTTTTTCTCCACGATCTCATCAGAACCTGTTATTTTTTTTACTTTTTAATAATAGCTATTCTGACTGGTGTGAGATGGAGTCTCGTGATTTTGATTTGCATGTCTCTAATGATCAGTGATGTTGAGTTTTATTTCATAGAATTGACGGCTTCATATATATCTTCTTTTGAAAAGCATCTGTTCATGTCCTTTGTCCACTGTTTTTTTAGAGGGAGTCTCACTCTGTCACCCAGGCTGGAGTGCAGTGGTGCAAGCTTGGCTCACCACAACCTCCACATCCCAGGTCAAGCAATTCTCCAGACACAGCCTCCCAGGTAGTTGGACTACAAGCATACACCACCACACCCAGCTATTTTTTTTCTTTTTTGTATTTTTACTAGTGACAAGATTTCACCATATTGGCCAGGCTGGTCTTGAACTCCTGACCTGAAGTGATACACCCTCTTTGGCCTTAGAAAGTGCTGGGATTACAGATAGTAGCCACTGAGCCTAGCCTCTGCCCACTTTTTATTTTATTTTATTTGTAAATTTGTTTGTTTCTTGTAGATGGTGGATATACCTTGTCAGATGCACAGTTTACAAAACTTTTTTCCCATTCTGTAGGCTGTCTGCTCACTCTGCTGATAATTTCTTTTGCATTACAGAAGCTCATTAGTTTAATTAGGCCTCATTTGTTAATTTTTGCTTTTGTTGCAATTGCTTTAGAATCTTTTTAATAAAACATTTGCCCATGCCTATGCCCTCAATGGTATTGTCTAGGTTGTCTTCCAGCGTTTTTATAGTTTTGGATTTTATATTTAAGCCTTTATTACATCTTGAGTTAATTTTTGTATATGTTATAATAATGGGATCCTGTTTCAGTCTTCTGCATATGGCTAGCCACTTAGTCCAGCATTTTTTATTCAAGAGAAAATTCTTTCCCTGTTGCTTTTTCCAGTGTGGCCTTATTTCTGGGCTTTCTGTTCTCTTTCACTGCTCTGTGTGTGTCTTTAAACCAGTACCATGCTGTTTTGGTTACGGTACCCTTGTACAATAGTTTGGAGTTGGGTAACATAATGCCTCCAACTTTGTTCTTTTTGCCTAGGATTGTCTTAACTATATAGACTGTTTTTGAGATTAAGACATAAGAATCCATTTGAAAGATATGAAAAATCCAGGAGCTGGTTTTTTTATAAAAAAAAAAAAATTAAAAATATAGACTGCTACCTAAACTAATAAAGAAGAAATGAGAGAAAGTTCACATGAACAC